ATGTCACAACTGGGATGTAGGAAGCAGGTCTTCACGACCCTTGCTCTGGCTCTGGGGATAGAGCCCACAGATATGAGGTAAAAGTGTGTTCGGATCTTTATCCCCAGTCATGGAGGTACAGTATGGTTTTGTTCAAGGAGGCTGCGAGACAGGGCTTCCTTACGTGGCACGGTCAGTACAGAGAGTGGAGTGTGGTACTGCATTGAAGCAGGGGGTGTTTCCAAAGTGTGGAAAAGCATTTAGTGAAACTAATTAGCAAGACGTTTACAGCTCAAAAGAGAATTCAGCTTTGTTTTTCAGTCATCCATCTCATCCATTTAATAGATGTGTGATCAGCATCACTATTAGCCTTACACAGCCCTTGGTCCTAGATGCTTCCAATTTTAGCGAGATGTCATCTTTATATCATGGGGCTTACATTCTAGCATTAAAAAAAAAGTCAAAGAAAATTATCTAGTTGCAGAGGACTTGCAGCAGACAGCTGAGCCAAGGACGTGTCCCAGAGGAAGCTGCCTTCAAGCCGAGTTACGATGGGTTTACCAGGATGGGTGGGACAGAGAGAAAAGATAACAAAAGAGCATCTCAGCCAACAGAGAACGACCTTTGCAAAGGTCCTGTGGAGCAAGGTCACGGAATGTCAGAAATGGCAGTGTGGAACAGAATGGCACAAGACAAATGTGCCTGCATGGACCAGCGCTGACTATGTGGGCCTTAGAGCAGAGATCATCAGCAACCCTTTTCAGTGAAGGGCCAGGTAGAAAAGATTTAGGGTTTTCAGCCAAATGACAGGGTTAGTTAAATCATATGTGTATAATGTGTGTTTATTATTATATGAACATATTAATATATATATGTATATCAAAAGAGTAAAAACATGCACAAAAATGCTCTTAGTGGGGCTGGAGAGGTGGCTCCGTGGTTAAAAGCACTATTGCTCTTCAGGAGTGTTCAGGATTCATTCCTAGAACCCACATGGGGGCTTCTCACCATCTCTGACTCCAGTCCCAGGGGGATCTTCTGCCCTCTTGTGGCCTCCTTAGATACATGCACACACACTCATGTGCACACACACACAGAGACACACAGTGTATACAGACACACACACACACACAAATCCTTTTTTCAAATGTTACTGGTTGAATTCTAAACATACTAATAACTGAGTAACATTTTAAACACAAATCTACTGAGGGGAGACTAGAATATTGGAGAAGAAACATATTTGGTCTCACTAGTGATTTCTATTATCAAGAGTTATGGTAAATATTTGATTGTTGATGCTGATGGGAATGAGGTTTTGTTTCATGTTGCTAAATGCCTTTTTACATAAACAGATATTGCCAAACACTGTTATCTGTTCACAACTATACAATTCTAATTAAGCTTGCTCTTGTTTGCCAGGCATTTACACAATTTTACTAGAGTTTTCTTTTGATGTTTGCTTGTTTAAAAGTGTGTTGATTTGTTTGTGTGTGTGTGTACCTGCCTGTGTGAGTGTTACTCACTAGATGTATGCAGGTACCCATGGAGGCTCAAAAGTGTCAGGTTCCTTGGAGCTAAAGTTAGAGGTGATGTGAGCTGCATGATGTGGGTGCCAGAAAGCCAAATTTGGGCTCTCTTAAAGAGCAGTAAGCATTCTTAACTGCTGAGCCATCTGTCCAGCACCGTGATATCTGCTTTTCAATTAATCATTTGCAACTGAAAATTATATGGAAGTTTCTTGTTAAATAAACTAGATAAATGGATTTTGAAATATGAAATTCTTTTCTCCTCACATTAAAGTCCAGCTCACACTATTAAGTCTGCAGTTTGTGCTCAGGAAACAGAATCATTTTGAGTGTATGTGGAATAGAGATGAATGCAGCTCCTTATTCTAACTTGTGATGGCCCAGGAAGAGTGCTTCAAAAGCTTAACATCACTTGCTGTTTAAGCAATATTACTTTAACATAGTGTAGTGGGTAGTCATTCCAGCTTTGATCTGGAAGTTCCAACCCCCATTGAGGCTTTGTTAACTGTCACGCCTATAAGGCAGGGCCAAGGGAGGACCCTGAAGACCGGAGATCTGGATGGGCCAGCTCTCTCTGTTCCTGGACCCTGGATGGTGGAGGTTGACCGAGCAGAGCTCCAGAGAATACCACTGGACTGTGATACACCTTTCCCAGACCCTGTGACCTACCTATTCCTTCATTTGTAAGTTATGCCACTGATAAACTTTCCTTTTAACTATGTGGAGTGGCCTTAATAATTTCACCAATATCTGGCACCCAACGTGGGGCAAATTCCAAAGGCCTGGGTGGCTCCCGCCCTCAGCTTCATGGTTGAAGACTAGATACTTACAATTTTCCTTAGTTATGATAAAAGATAAGTTAGATATAAAATCTTAAACTCACCAATATAAGATAGATAGGATATCTTCTTTAATATTGTAACTGTAATTCTTGCTCAATAGTTGTTTTGTTATATGTAATTTTACTATGTTAAAGTTAAAACCTTCCTTTTTGAAAAAGAAGAAAAGGGGAAGTGCTGTGGATATCGTTCTGTATAAATAAAGACTGATTGGTCAGTGGCCAGGCAGGAAGTATAGGCAGGACTAACAAAGAGGAGAATTGAGGGAACAGGAAGAAGGAGGGGGAGACATTGCCAGTCACCGCAGGACAAGCAGCGTGTAAAGATGCCGGTAAGCCACGAGCCACATGGCAAGGTATAGATTTATAGAAATGGGTTAATTTAAGATATAAGAACAGTTAGCAAGAAGCTTGCCACGGCCATACAGTTTATAAGTAATATAAGCATCTGAGTGATTATTTTATATGTGAGTTGTGGGACTGCAGGGCTTGGTGGGACCTGGAGAGAAGCTCTCCAGCAACAACATAGCATAAGTTTTACCTATAAAACTTTTTCCTCAGTTATAGGGTAAGTTTCTTAAGGACTACTATGGACTTGGTAGCAAAGATAATGTTCAAAGCCACTAAGGGTTCACTTGTAGTGGCAGGGAACAGTTTTAATTCTCATCTCTCACCTCAAAAACCTTACTCAAAAAAATTGGCTGATGCTAAGTTCTTACATTCCTGTACAATGGGATAAGTCAAGTGTTCGGGCTCAAGGTCTCAACAAAACTAATCTCAAAACCGGGTGGTGACATCACATGGCCTGGGCTCCCAGACCGAGGAAAAGGAGATTGTGAGCCGAGCACCAGCACTCATCTCTCAGCTTCCTGACGGTGGATGCAGTGTGACCAGCTGCCTCGCTCCCCTGCTGCCATGCCTGTCCGAACGAACGAATGTGTGGGACTGTACTCTCAAACTGCGGGCCCCAAAACGACCCGTTCTCCTCCATGTGTCTGCTTTCCTTGGGTGTTTTGTCGTGCCGACAAGAAAAGTGACTGACAGCTCAGTCCCTCTGCTCTGGCTCTCTCTCAGCGTCTTGAACACCTTTGCATCTGAGTCTGTTCTACAGAGACGGGGCACAGACATCCGTTCTAAGGGACTGCAGAATGAGGACTGCCTCCTCAGAGAAACAGCAAGATCTGTCGACTCACCAGGAGCCGGAGAGAAACTCCACAATGTGATCTGTCTGCCTTGCCTTTAACTGACCGGACTCCCGTTCTCAGGGCTTGCAAGAACCCCTACTTCTTGCCAAAGGGGTGGGTTTTTTTAAGCCATGTTATTTCCTCTGTAACTGCTTCTTCAGTTCTTGCTGTTAAACAAAACATACTTAACTCAGTCGGTATATTTTTTTCTTATTTCACTAACAATTGAGCCACATGGAATGTACCTATTCTTGCATTTTTTTTTGTATGTGAAAAAAGCATGCTGTGTTGACATTCTATCTTAAATTTTCCACATTTTGACCGCCGCTTTCTCGTAAGTTGGAAATATTGTGGTAAGAGCTTAGTGTGGTGATATCAGTCCATGTTTCCTTAAGCACATCTGTACTGCCGTTGTGTAACAAACAGTGATTTGTTGCCTGAAATTGATTACAGAACACGCCACATGCCCCTGTCTATTAGAAGCATGACATTTAAAACCCACTGTCCTCATCTTTTTCTTGATGTATCACAGGGCAACAGCCTGGTGGATTAGTTACTTGTCCCATGGCTGGGACAAAGTATCCAGCAAAAGCAGGGAGAGGAGGAAGGGTTTGTTGCGGCTCAGTCTGAGGGTACAGTCCATCACGGGGAGGAAGGCACGGTCACAGCAGTAAGACGGCTATCACATTGCATCTATGGTCAGAAAGTACAAAGATGGATGGAGAAAACGCCATCGTGTTTTCTGACTCTTCTGGGCTGTGATTCAGTCTGAGCTCTGAGCCTGTATTTAGAGTGGGTGTTCCCTCCTCTGAAACGCATCCAGAATTGTGTTTCTAGGTGATTCTAAAATCCAGACACGTCGACAACGGAGATTCACCATCACAGCTGTAGTATGAAATGTTATAATCTCGCGGTCCACCTCGTACTCTCAAGTGCTGGGTTGTGCTGCTGGGATTCATGGTGTGCTGGGCAGCAGCATGAAGCTGGAAACTACTCATTCCTCTTATTACAGCGTGAAAGCAGCTACAGGCTGTCGGTACATAAATGATGCACGCTGGCTGTGCCAAAATTTGAATTTTTTTTTACAACTTTTAGGCGTCAAGACACACTAGTCTTAGTTTGATTTTTCTCAACTGTATAGAAAAGTCAAAACTAACAAGGCATGGAGATGTATATCTACAATCCCAAACCTGGGAGATTGAGGCCAGCCCGGGATGCATAGCAAAACCCTTGCTTTATCTCAGACAAACCAACAAAAAGGTAAAAACCACTCCAGAAGCAGGCAGTAGGTATCTGGACTTGACCCTGTGAGCCTAGTCCACTGGCCTATGCAATTAGACCAGCATGGCTGTGCTGAGTTTCATTTCAACACTTATTACAGGTGCAAATATTCATTTCCCTCCAAACCATGGCAAGCCCCCCCAAATCACTAACCTCCTAAGTCATCTAAGAGGATACCTGTTTTTGCAGGATGGTACCCGGGTTGTTGGGAAATGCGGCGGTTACTGTGGGAAGTGTACTCCATCCTCGGGCACGGGCCTGGAGGTGCGAGTTTCATAACTAAGGTAAGTCCTTCCCCTTCCCCACCTCCCCTTTCATTTTACTCTGTAGCCTAATGATGAACAAATATGAGTGAGTGTCCTTTCCTCCAGACAGGGCTACTGTCAAGTATTATGAAGTTGGCCCAATAGTAACAATCTTGTTTATCTGTCTTTCTGTGCCTGCGGCCACCTGTCCCTCACCCTTGAACCCAAGTCCTCAGGCCTCATACATTCAGTTCCTCTGTATTGCTAGTTGAAAACGCTGCCTGCTGGGCCTCACCTCCAGAAGTCTTACTTCCTAAGGTCTCTGGTGTATCCAGAGACCTATGTTTTGAATATTGGGAATTGTGATGCAGGGGGCTGAGCTAAACACTTGGAGAATATAATAGTCACAGTAGTGCTGGTGTTTGTCAAGCTCCCACTGTGCCGAGCAACTTGCAGGCATAGTTTCATCCAATCCTCACAAGGAAATCGTGAGGTAGAGCTCTTGTCTTATTTTGCAGTAGAGGAAGTTGAGGCTCACAACCGTTAGTTTCCTTAAGGTCACAGTGACCTTCCCTTGCAGGCCCCAGTGACAGCTTACGCCAACAGCATTGCTTTCAATGACTACAGTGTCACAGATTTGCCACTCGGCGTCATCTGAGATCTTGTTGTAAATGCGGATCTTAGACCCCCGCCCTATGTATACAAGAAATCAGAATCTCTATTCTATCACACTCCACAGACGACTTATGCCAACAAGTGCTCCCTCTGCTGGACAAAAGACTAAACTGCTCACTTTTCATTATCCTGGTACCTTCAGCTACATGGTGCAGTTTAACCAACCTTTGTGACTGTCTAACACCTTCCCTGTGACTTCCAGTAGCCGATTCAGTTCCCTCCATAGCTCGTTCCTGTTCCAACACACGAGTAGCTATTTGACAAATATTTAAGTAAACATCAGTATTGAAAGTATTCTTTTTATGTATTTTTTAGAACAGGCTCTTGCTTATTAGCCCAAGCTAGCCTCAAACTTGGGGTCTTTGTGCCTCTGTCTCCCAAGTGCTGGGATTGCAGTTGCACACCACCACATCTTGGCAGAATTGCAACCTTAAATTAGTACTGTTTGTGTTGCAAAGGGGAAAGAAAATACATTAACTGAGATGCTTCTGTGCTGTGCCTTCTTCATAGCTGCATAGGGTTCCACAGTACTATCCTTCTCCATCGATCAGCAGGGAGTCCCTCATGATGCTTCTTCTCGGCATGCCATCTTTTCCACACCCAGGCCTTGCTAAGATTACATCATCATTATAGCTCCTGATTAAATTAAATGCTGTCCACAACCAGTCTGCAAAATAACTCTCCTCGGGCTGGAGAGATGGCTCAGTAGTTAAGAGCACTGGCTATTTTTCCAGTTGACCTGGGTTCCATTCCCAGCACCCACATGGCAGCTCCATCTGTAACTCCAGTTCAGAAATCTGATACTCCCTTCTGGCCACCAAGGGCACCAGGCACACATATGACACCCAGACATACAGGCAAGCAAAGCACACCACACACACACACACACACACACACACACACACACACACACACACACACACACACACACACAAAAATAATAATAATAATAATAATAATAATAATAAATAAATAAATAAACAACACCTCGCCTTACCTCTGGTGGGGTCACATGGTCAGTTCCGAAGTAGGGTGTCTGGAGCCTGAGATCTTGTGCCTACTGAGAGTCACTGACAACTTCTTTTGGAAGAGGATCACTTCTAAGAGGAGGAAGAGATTTGGCCTGGGACTGTAGCTCAGTGATAAAGCACTTTCTCAACATGAACAAGGCATGGGGTTTGACCCTTATAACAGGCACAGTGAACAAAACAATAGTGTGTGAGTTCCAGGGCAGCCTGGGCTAGAGAATAACACACGCACACACGCACACGCACACGCACATGCACACACGCACACACGCAGGAGGCAGGTACTTAGGATCTAAAAAGGGGAGATGGGGTGGAAGCAGGCAAAACTCAGCAGATATACACTAGAGACCCCATTTTCATATGCTCTTTATATCTGCTTTTCTTATATATGTTATCTGTCATAAAATATGGGTACATATGTACAAAATTTACATGTATAAATTCACATGTATGTAAGAAGACTAGAAAGAAACGTCCTAACATTTGAATGTTATCTCAGATGAGCTTTCTAGGCACTGAGCTTTTTTCTCTTTTATTCTTTTGTAATCGTTCTTTTTTTTTCCTTTCTTTTTAAGTTGAGTTCATTTATTTATGTGTGTATGTGTTGGTGCGTGCACAGGCCTCCGCATGCCTGTGGATCTGCGGACAACCCACAGGTGTCAGTTCTCACCTTCCAGCAAGTGCCTCTCCTCACTCTGCCGCTTGCTGCTCTCCTTCTCTGGTGCTGGAGGTCAAACCCGGGACCTCACACTACTAGACAGACACCCCACCACTGAGCTGCATCCCCAGCCCACTTCTGTGTTGCTCGGAGCAAAGAAATAAGTAAAGAAATAACCAAATAAGTAAGAGTTCACTTTGTAACCTGGAGAAGACCCTAAGTGGCACTTGGTAACTCTGCATGTGAAAATGCCTAGTCGCCTGCTCTCGGCTTTCAGCCTTTGGCAGAGAAGGTGTGTAACTCCTGGTTTTTTTGTTGTTGTTTTTTTCTTTTAGGGGCTCTGAAGAGGAAACTATTATGGAATGGATGAAGGATAGTAATTCAATACCTCCACCTTAACTTTGGGTGCATCTGTGTGTGTGTGTGTGCGGACCTGTCTGCTTGTGTGTGTGAACGTGTGTGTATATGAGTGTACATATGCATATATATAAATATATATAAATATATATATACAGATTGAGCATCCCTTATCCCAAAATTTAAAGTCTGAAATGCTCCAAGTTCTGAAACCTTTTGAGTGTCAGCATGAGATCTCAAATGGAAAATTTCATGCCATGAAACTTTGTTTTATACACAAAATTTGTTGACGTACCATGCAAAATTACATTTCTGTCATGTATGTAAAGGTGCATGGGAAACACCAATGAAGTCCATATCCCACGTTCTTGGGCAAGTATTGCTCTCTGCCTGAGTACCCTACTGCTTAAGAGCTATACTAAAAACTCCTAGTAAGCCCAACGCCACTTAAAAGAAAGAAGCATAAATGAATACTATGTTCAGATTTGAATCCCATCCCCAAGGTATCTCATTTTTTTATATGAGAATATCACCAAGTCTTTGAAATGTCCGACATACACACTAATGGTCTCAAGCATTTCAATAAGGGATACTCAACCTGTGGAATACCCTAATGATGTAAAGTTTAATATTTATGTTTGAAATTATTTATTGTGATGTAATATTTTTGTACGTAAAATGATTTTATTGTGACTGCCTGTGCATGACGCCCTCCCTTGCAGTCAGACCGCTGCATTTTACGTACTCTACATTATATGTAGTATATGACAAAGTGACCCTTCATTATCACGGTACACTGTTGTTTACTTTTTACCTGAAAATGTGTTTTTACTGTTACATTTTGAGAATTGTAATTATTTTTTTTAACAATCTAGCTGTCATCAAGGTGCTATGTGAGTTGAATAAGGGTATTTTTGGCAATTGTGGGAATGTTTCATTAGCCAAGAAGTGAGTTAGCAACATCACAGATTGTACCAACTGCTAATTATCGTATCTATTCCGTTTCATGTGATCTCTGGGAAGAAATATGCTGCCTTGGTGCTAATATTATATGTTTTTAAAGTAATCTTCAGAGTAAAAAATATAAACACAATAAAAGGGAGTAACAGATAGATAATTCATAATGGATAAAATCACTTGGCTAGAGTAAGACCCACTATTAACACTTATTTGTAGACATGCCTTTTTTGGATAGTAGCTGGACTCATTGCTTCCTGCTGTTGTTGGTAATATGCTTTACTCTGGTCCATGGTGCCTTGGACTCCTTTCAATCATTGGGAGGGTCCACCAATAGCTTCCTTACATAGAGACACTGGGAAAGGGAGGGTCTCCTGCTGTTTTGTCAAGATCTCCTCAAAGACACCCAAGTTTACCAGTATCAAGACAAAGGATATACAGCAAGATCATAGCCTTAACACCCCTTGGCATACTCATGGCCTTCAGCACCCCTAAGCAGACTCGAGAGAACTACAGAAGCAGATTCTGAGCCATGGAGATCGACCACCTTTTACATGAAAACTTTGGCCAATGATATGACTTCCCTTCAGGCTGTGAGCCTAATACCCTGCCGGGTTTCCTGTGGTCTTTGGCGTTTGTGTGAAAAATAAACTGGCATATAAGACGCCCAAGTCTTTCTGATCTTCCACGAGTCCACCTTTTGTTACTTCTTTCTGAAATGGAAGTGCTGAAGCTGTGGTCACAAGACGTTTTGCCTGAGAAAGCCTGCCCAAGCTTTCCAAGACCAAAGAGATTAGGGAAACCCTGACAGTATTCTCCAACTCCACAGAAATACCAGAGCACAGTATACTCAGTGTATGAACAAGTGTCATCCTCTATTGTTAATATATGTGAAACATATTATAAATAAATATCGTGACCACATCCAAACCATGTATGGTTCTCTTGGCTTCTGGTTTGTATTTGATTAACATTCAAATACAAATGTCTCTAGGGTTTTTTTCTCTATATTTTTGAGATTATAATGTATTACATCCTTTTCCTTTCTTCAAACCTTACTGTCTTAGGGTTTCTACTGCTGTGAAGAGACACCATGACCAAGGCAATTCTTATAAGGGAAAAACATTTAACTGGGGTGACTTACATTTTCAGAGGTTTAGTCCATTATCATCAAGGTGCTACATGGTGGAGTGCAGGCAGACATGGTGCTGGAGCTGAGAGTCCTACATCTTGATCAGTAGGCGACAGAAAGTAGTCTGTCTCACTGGGCGTGGCTTGAGCATATATGAACCCTCAAAGCCTGCCACCACAGTGACATACTTCCTCCAACAAGGCCACACCTCCCATTAATGCCACTCCCTTTGGGAGCCATTGTTGTTTTTATCTAAGTTGTTCTATTAACCAATAAAGATTTGGGAGTAAGATATTGGAGTGGTGTCTTATTTAGTTTCCATGAGTCTGTGTCTATAGTTTGCATTGTTGTTGATACCCCACTCTATTCTATCCTGGTCAGATAGCTGCAGGATATTATTTCAATTGTCTTATATTTGTTGAAACGTGCTTTGTGTCTTAATAGGTGGTCAATTTTGGAGAAAGGTCCATAAGTTTCTAAGAAGAGTGTTTTGGTGAAATGTGCTGTAGGTATCTATTAGGTCCATTTGATTTAGGCTGATATTTAAATCCATGGTTCTTTTTTTGTTTAGTATTTTTTCCAGATGACCTGTCTATTGGTGCAAGTGGTATATTGAAGTCACTCACTACCACTATGTTGGGGTTAACCAGTAGTTATAGACTAAATAGTATTTCTTTTATGAAATTGTGTTTAGTGCATATATGTTTAGAATTCTACTATCCTATTGATGAATTTTTTTTCCTTTAAGGGATGTAAAGTGACCCTCTTTGCTCTTCTGGCTAGTTTTGACTTGAAGTCTATTTTGTCTGATCCTGGGTAGCCAGCCACACCTGCTTGTATCTTAGTTCCCTTTGTTTTGAGCATCTTTTTCTACCCTGTTACCCTCAGATGGTGTCCGTTGTAGGTGAGCTGTATTTCTTAGAGACTGCAAACAGATAGCTCTTGATTTCTTCTAATCCTATCTGCTCTCCTGTGTCTCTTAAGGACTTGAGACCATTGATATGGAGTTATTATAGAACAATGTACATTAACTCCTGTGTTTTGTTTTTTTGTGGTGTTTTCTTAGTCTTTTTTTTTTTTATTAACTATCCTAAAATTGTTTGTTTATTCCCTGTGACCTCTTTGGTATGCTTATCCTTGTCTTCAGACTGAAGTATTCCTCCCAGCATCCTACATAGAGCTGGCTAAGGGTCATAAATTCTTTCATCTGCTTTTATCAGGGAAAGTTTCTATTTTTTTTTCTTTTTAATAGAAAGTGTTGCTGGGCATGCTATTTTGGGTTGACGATTGTCTTTCAGAACTTGGAATGCATCTTTCCAGGCTTTTCCAGCTTTAAAAGCTTTTGTCAAATAACCAGGTTGTATTTAAATGTGCCCACCTTTATAAGTGACTTGACATTTGCCTCTTACGGCTTTTAATTCCCCTTACATTGTCTCCATGTTTCTAATGTTTTATTTACAATATGGCATGCGGAGCCTCTTTTGCGGTCCTGTCTATTTAGAATTCTGTGTGGCTTTTGTACTTGATGGGCCTATTTTTCTCTAAGTTTAGGAAATCTTTTCTACAATTTTATTGGAAATGCTCTCTATGCCTTTGTTCTGCTGGCCTTCTCCCACAATCCAAAAATCGCATCTTTTGATGAGGTTCTAGATTTATTGTTCAATTTGGTCTTCACTGAGTACTCCAGTCCCGTTGCCGTGTCTCCCACCTCTGGGCGGCTGCTTTCTAGTCCATTAGCAAGGCTTTCCCCCGGGCTTTGGATTTGGCTTGTTGTTTTCATTCCCAGGATCGTATCAGACTGCATTTTCTTCAGCCATCCTATCTATTTCCGTGTCTTGGATGAACTTCCTTATTTCAGTCCTGTCCTCCTGGAGTAGAGTTCTATCTTCTTTGCATTGTTGGAATATACCTTTAATCATTCTTTTGAATTATTTGGTCGTTCCTCAAAGTCATTTTGATCAGGTGACATTACAGGGTTAGTGACACATTTCAGTTGTTGTTTGTTGTTTGTTTGTTCATGTTATTTCTATTTCTTCACCAGGACCAAACGTATCTGGAGTGAGTTCATTGGCTGAGTTTTTCTTTCTTTGTATTTTTTGTTTTTAAGACTGTAGTTCCTTTTTTCTTTCTTTCTCAATGGTGGTGTTTTCAGTGTTCAGTGGAGGACTAAGTCCTTTCCCTCTGTGGTGTTTATGAAGGCTCTATCTTCAGTCATCTCTGAGGGTCAGTCAGGTATTATCCTGTGTCAGCTAAAGCCTCCTCCGACCTGGGTCTCCAGCTTTCCCTTTAAGTTGTGACACTATCCACACACCTGAGGGCCTTCCCCAGGGTCAGATCTGATCCCCTTTCTGGTTCCTCAGCCCCTCCCCTTGCCGCATTCCACAGCTTGTTTTGAAGCCACTTTGGAATGCAGACCTCCCCAAGCACCAGTAGACCTTATGGGATTCAGGATTGCTCTGCCTCCTGCCTGGGCCCTTGGCAACCACTGTGCTGGAGCTACTGGGAGATGTGGAACTTCACATCTTGTTTCCCACCTTGTGTTTTGAGACAAGATCTCTTACTGGCCTGGGACTGTCCAGTTAGGCTGACTGTGGAATGAGTCCCTAGGATCTGCCTCCACAGCACTGAGATAACAAGCGCACACCACCATCCCCAACTTTTAAGTTTAGGATCTGACGCTCAGGCGCAGGACTTCATGTTTGTATAATGAGCACTTGACTGACTGAGCGATCGATCGCTCCAGTGGCAGAGATACCAGCTTTACATACCTCTACAACTGAAAAAGAGCCTGCTGCCCTGCAGGTATGTAAGTATGGAAAACACCTGCCACCAAGAGATGGTAAGTGAGGACCTATTCAACTCACTTTTAGTCAAGTCCAGGCCCTGGCATTGTTGAACTGTTTGGTTCTATGTCTTCTGCCCAGAGTGATGACAATCCTTAGAGACCCTAAGCCCCCAACAACCAGGCAACTTCCTTGGGATAGATCTTTCAAAATTAAAAATACCTCTGAGCCATAATCCTAGTCTTTTTCATGAAAAGTTTATTTCTGCTTTGGGTTTCTTGGGGGTTTTGTTACTGTTGTTTTCTGTTTTACCAATTATTAATTTCCCCTAAAAATCTGAAAACCAGACTTGCTGTGACCCTGGGCACATATTTTATCTCCCTGGTGGGTGATCCAGTTAGTTGGACAACATTTATCATAAAGACATCTCATGAGAACAAAAAGGACCTGTCATTCAAAGGTCAAAGAAGAGAGCTGTCCCCATTACAATGTAAAAGAAAGAAAATGTAACCCAAACAGAAATGTCCACCTTTCTATGTAGCTTATATGGGATGACTTTGCTTGAGCTTAGTATCAAATGCCCTTCAGACTGTTGACATGGTATCAGTATACTTGAGCAAGGGGCTCATGTATAAGAAATATAATTAATAATTCATTTAGTGCATTTATAAGTCGAAGGGCCTAATTCCTCCTTAAGCCTTTGAGTTCAGCTTGCTAATTTTATTATTTTACTGATTGATCACTTAGTTTCTAGAAGTTACCTTAAAATGAACTCAATGAGAGAGCAAAAGAAGGAATCAGGATGGATGGGTGGGGAGGTGGGAGGGACCTGGGAGGGAAGGAGGGGCAGGAAACTGTGACCAGAATGTATTGTAGGAAAAAAATTCATTAGAAAATTTTTGGATGATATTTATCTCATCATAATTTAGTTCAATATATTTAATGCAATATTTATATGTTCCACAGATTTTATTTCTATCTAGTCCATTAATAATGTGACAGGGCAAGCAAACTTTCTGAATACTTATATTACTGATATAATATTATAATACTTATAATACTGATATTCTTTTAAATACAGAATATAAGTGATACAGTTAATTAGTTCTTTTTAAACATTCCAAAATGGGAATGTAACCTAACTTAGGATGAGATTTTTCTTGTTTGTTTTTGCTGTTCTTTGTTTTGAAACAGTCTTGTTATATAACCCTGGCTTATCCCAACTTTGCAGTGATCCTCCTGCCTCTGCTCCCTGAGTGCTGAGATTATGAGTATGCACCACCACATCCATCCACTTAGTATGAATTTTATGTAAAATCACATGCCTAAATTAAGTACTCCACAGTACACTTTTAAAAAAGCTGTCACTACACAGGGATCGCCCAATGACAGAGAAGTGGAATGAGATCTACATGAACAGCCTGGACATGAGTGGGGGTAGTGTAAGGCGAGGGTCGAGGGAAAGAGAGCTTGAGGGAGCGGGAGATCCCAGCTGGATCAACAACAGAGAGGGAGAACAAGGAATAGGAGACCATGGTAAATGAAGACCACATGAGAATAGGAAGAAGCAAAGTGCTAGAGAGGCCCACAGAAATCCACAAAGATACCCACACAACAGACTGCTGGCAATGGTCGAGAGACAGCCCGAACTGACCTACTCTGGTGATGGGATGGCCAAACACCCTAATTGTTGTGCTAGAAACCTCATCCAACTACTGAGGGATCTGGATGCAGAGATCCATGACTAGGCCCTGGGTGGATCTCTGGGAGTCCAATTAGCGAGAATGAGGAGGGTTTATATGAGCGAGAATTGTTGAGACCAAGGTTGGATAAAGCACAGGGACAAATAGCCAAATGAATGGAAACACATGAACTATGAACCAATGGCTGAGGGGTCCCCACTGGATCAGACCCTCTGAATGGGTGAGACAGTTGATTGGCTTGATCTGTTTGGGAGGCATCCAGGCAGTGGGACCGGGTTCTGTGCTCATAGCATGAGTTGGCTGTTTGAAACCTGGGGCCTATGCAGGATTGTTTGGCTCGGCCTGGGAGGAGGGGACTAGACCTACCTGGACTGAGTCTACCAGGTTGACCTCAGTCTGTGGGGAAGGCTTTGCCCTGGAGGAGATGGGAATGGGGGGGGGTTGGGGGGAAGGTGAGGGGGACGGGAGGGGGGAGAACAAGGGAATCCGTGGCTGATATGTAGAACTGAATTGTATTGCAAAATAAAGAAAACAAAAAAACAAACAAACAAAAAAAGCTGTCACTAAATTTAAATGTTTTAAATCATGACATTTATGTAAAGTATTAAGTGTTCACATTTTTTAAAATACAAAAGTCTTAATACAGTGATTCTTACCTCTTTAAGCATTTTTTACCTTAAATTTATCTCCTCATGAATAAAAATGATATGCTTTTCAATAGCTGCTGTAGACCCAGAGATGCTTCCTGGGCATAAGACATGGAGTGTCAGGCTGCCAGTGTGTCTGTTTATTCTCCTGGAGAAACT